TGGGTGTGGGTCTGCGTCTGGGTGTGAGTGTTGGTATGTAGTTGTGGGTGCGGGTGCGGGGTGTGGTTGTAGATGCGGGTATGGTTGGTGAGATGGGCGGTGATCCTCTTTTATTTACATCAGCATTCAGATCCTGATCAACAGCCACACTCACAAATACGCATATTCACACCGGCACCCCACATCCATACTTATACCCAGTCACATCCACCACACACTTACACCCATCCCACACCCACATCCACACTCATATTCACACCCACGCCCATACCCTATGATTCTCTTTTTTCTTTTCTCCCTCAAGATCAACAAATGGTAGGCAAGCGATAGTTGTTCTCACATGTGTCCGTAATTAAGTCAATATACAGTAAAGCATAATGGAGAAAATCCAGTATTAATACACAGAATTGCGCATCGTCATTGTGAATAATCAGTTCTCCTCTTTTTTCTCTAGAGTAGACGTTACAAAGCAAACAAAGCTTACATTTATTCGTTTCCAACATAAGTGTAAGTGCTTATTAAAGTCAACATACAATAAAAAACACGTTGGAAAAAAACCACTGATAGTAGACAAATATAAGCAATACTGTTGCGACTGGACTTACATGTATTTCGTTTGAAAAAAATACTCTGATCGCTTTTTGGAAGGTTTCTTCTAACTGACTGAAGTAAGTTAAGCTGCGTTTTCTATTGGTTCAAACGTTTTATTATATGAAGAATAATGGATCAAAAAATATCCTGTCAAGAGTGTAAATATTCCATAACTGAACGTGGTTATAAATGTGCAGATTGTAGTAAATGTTTTCGAAAAGAAGTTTTCTATTGCCACCGTTGTTTTACCAGTACTGAGCATGAAAAACTTGAGCATGACACAATTCCTGTTGACTATACTCAAACCACAAATACGCAATTAATTTATTCAATCATTGATTTTGAAAAACTTCATCTTGCAACAGCCATAGACGCATTGAAGCTTTTTCCGCATGATGATCAAGACTCTACTATATGGAAAAGAAACAATTTCTCGGAAATATCTTATATATTACCAAATGAAATGCCGTTTAAGAACATTATTCCATTCGTCTGTGATTATTTACGAATGAATAATTCATTAAAATATCTTATTGATAAATTAAACTTAAAACTATGTTCTACTGATATCATCATTTTGATTCTTAAATACACCTCGTTTGGTATAAGATTATTTATTATTGAACAACTTTGCATATTTCAACGAGCTATTCCCATTTATTTTGGAGTTCCATGCCTTGAGAATTTGTCGATGAAATATTATTTTTTAATGCATGAAATATTACATATTCTTCTTCCATATAAATATCAAAAATTTCCATTCATTTTATCATTTGGTACTCAATCATGCAAAGGAAAAACATTATTATTAAACAAAATACTTAAAACAAACTTTGATTGTCATTATAAAGCTGAATTTAATTTTGAAATAGCTTCAACTTACTATCATCATCAGCTAATTCAAATGTTGCTTGGTCATCAATACGATATTGATAGAGGAAATGATAATGAAATTACACGTGTCTATCGGTGTCACGTACTTGATCTACATGGTACTCATGATTGGAAACAAATGCCAAGTTTCTTTATTCAATTTATGAGTGTAATCATAATTCATATGGATATTTTAGACGTCAAACAAATTGATTCTCTTCTATGGCCTACAGTTGTATTCAATCAAACAGCAACATATATAATATTTATCCATGGTGAAATTTCGGACTCTGATATAGAAATAAATTTGCAGCCACAAATTCTGAAGTATTTCGGATTGAACAAAATAAACGTGCATATTCTTCGAGCTAAAGCAATTTTGGATGAAAATAATAAATTTTTACAAGTAGGAATGTTAACATTATTGAAGAAGGCTCCTATTCCAACGAATTCATTATTAAATGTCTCTGAGCAATTGATACAACAACACAACATTAACTTATCAACTAATATCGATACTTTATGTAAAAGCATACAATTGCTTGACGAATTTCATAAGATACTGAACATGTTATCAAGAGATGATCCAGCTCTCGATTTGTTTCCTCTTTCACGATTACGAGAATTATCTGAAAAAGCAAATCTCTCATCCGTTGACGAGCAGCAAAAAAATCAACTAACACAGAAGCTCTATGACCATGGTTTGAATCATGCAAACATTTTATTGACTAAATTAGCTGAATTGGTCATTGGCGATGATAATGATATAGCTCTTTTTGAAAAAGCCATTATATTATGGAATACAACTTTGTGGCAACGAAAACAGCAGGAAGTACAAAGATCACCCGCATCAATATTACAACAGTTGGAAATGAGTAAAGAACGTTTTTTACGTGAATTTCAAGAAAGAAGTATGGAGTATACAGATCGTAATGGTAGACTTTGTTCGTTTAAAGACATCATTCAAATGAAAAGAGCTTTGATAAAAATATATCAACATTCATTTCGAAGTCAAGAATATATTGAAATAATAAATGCCACATCGTCTACTATTTATCCAGAAATATTTCATGAAACATTTTCAAATATTTCAGAAGATTTAAAAAAATTTTTTGTCATTGGAATTATTGGTGAACAAAGTGGCGGTAAAAGTTTTTTGGTTAACAAAGTTTTTGGAACTAAAATTGCTGAATCAAAATTTAAATGTACTACAGGAATTTTAGCTACTCGAGTAAATGTGACAGGACATGATAGTGTGAAAAACATTGTTATTCTTGATACAGAAGGACTTCTTGATCAATCGAAGAAGAATACTGAAGCACAAATATTTGATCGTAAAATGGTTCTAGCAGTGATGGCTCGATCTCATGTTGTCATGATCAATATTACAAGAAATGTTAATAAAACAATGCAACAAATATTAGAAATTGTTTTTTATGGATTAAATAAGCTGCAAATTACAAATAAACCAAAAATGATTTTTTTATTCAGAGATCAAGATCCTAAATCAATGGGAGAAGCTGGACAGCGAAATCATGTTAGTGAGGTAATGAATGATATAGCACAATCATGTGAAAAAGTTAATTTTAAGGTACAAGATATCATAAATGGATTTGATATTCATGAATTTCCATCACCATTTGTTGATTTACTTGTTGGCGAACGAGAAATATCATTTTTCAGCAATAGCTTTTGTCAGAAAGCTTTATCATTAAGACTCAAAATTATTGATCAATTGACCAATTTAACACCGTTCGATTCTTTTGATGAATGGCTTGCAACTACGTTGGATCTCTGGCAGCAAATTAATCATAATTCAAATTTATTTGACTATGAATCGTTGATACATCTCACACTGGAAAGAGAATTGGAAATATTTAGTAATCGTGTATTAACCAAAGCCAATCGCGAAATGAGAGAAATGGTGGATAGTTTAGCAATCAACGCAAGAAATAGATCAGATGATAACAGCATTTTACATGAAATTGAACAAAAACTTATTGATAAGAAAACTAGACTTGCTAATGATCTATTGTCAAATCAACTAGTCAATGAAAAAAAACGTTTGATGCAAAAACATAATCTTCAATCATTCCCAGAAGCTTTGTTTGAAAGCACAAAGTTAAGAATACAGTCTAGCTTGAACTTGTATAAAACTGATCATTATATGGCAGCGACACGACAATTTCAACAAGATGAATTTCAAAAGAGGCTGTCTGAAATACCAAAACAATTGTCCATTAAAATCAGAGATATCCAAAATGTTGTTGAGAAAGCTGATCAATTCGAAACGTTATTTAATGATACTAGTGGAATATTATTAGCAGAATTCATCAAACTATTGGACAATGACTTCAAAAAACAGTCTATCGAATTAAACAAGATATTAATACAAAATTTTGTGCAACAAAATCGAATTGATAATGTTGGTGTTATGTATTTTTATGAACATATTAATGACTCATCTTTAACCGATATTGTTCGAAAAGCAGTACTAAGAGAAACTTCGAATCCAGTCGAGGAACAATCATTAGTTCCAGCAATTCAGCATACAACTTCATTAGTTCCAGCAATTCAGCATACAACTTCATTAGCCTTAGCAATCCCATCTACACTTTTCGGTAGTCAACATGGTTCTGGAATTTTACGAAGTCTTGCATCGTTTCTTTATCGTAAACTTTTTCCTAACAAGAAAAGCAATAATAACGAAGAACCACAAATCGAAAAAATGCTATCATTTTTAAGAGTTGAATATACAGCGTTACAGAATAGCCCATATTATGATAGCAATCTGTTGCCTGTTCCGGAATTGGCTAATGATTGTGTTCAACATATCCGAAATGCTATTGAAAATGCTAACATTAAAAGTCAAGAAATAAGAAATATATGGTATACATGCTATGGAATTATGCTCAATATTTTCGGCGATGAACATTACAACTATATTCATGAAAAGCTCATATCTGAATTTGAACAGGAAATATCTCGTACAAAAGAAGAAGTTAGACAAAATATTGCCAATGCTTCAACGGCTGAAGAACATGGACAAGCTTTAATAAAACAAATTTGGACAATAATTCAAAATGACACACAGAAACAATTTCAGAATCAATTTGAAAGATTTTTCGCCGCTTGGGATCAATATAGTCCTTCGATTATATCCGAAAATTGTGTAAATCAACTGTTTAGATCAATCAACTATCAGTTAATGCTCGATTATATTCAAAATCCAACCACTTTCATAAAAGAATGGCTTCGTTCAGAATTTAATAAAACATACCAAAATCAATTGAATCAAACACTATACAATCTCTCTTTGCATCTGGAAGAGACAAAAAAAAGATTCCATAGAATGGTTCTTTTCTGGGATGCAGCTATTCAAGCTAATCACTTGGAAAGAACAGTTTCAGAATTAACTAATTCTCTGAAAGAATTTCTTTCAAAGGGAGAAGATGCAGGAAATAATATTTCATTGACAGAACCAACAGGCAGTTTTTCAATTCTTGATTCTGCTCCAATTAGAACAGTTCCAGAAACTGCCGATAAACACCGTCTTTTAAAAGCCATACTCTTGACGTGCTCTACGCTTTCATCCGATCATGCCGATTACGTTAAAAAAACCACTAAAGATTTAATCACTAGCGAACAATATGTCAATCGTCTGTTTGATCGATTTTACAATAAAGCTAAAGGATGCGGAACACCTTGTCCATATTGCAAACAAATATGTGATAATGATAACCCGATGCATACGGAACATCGTACTGAACATCATCTGTTCTGGGTTTTTGGTGGATACAGAGCGATAGATACTGAAAAGCCAAGTTTAGTCTGTTGTACATCTAATGAAGCGTTCGAGCGGAAAGTTCGCAGTCTGAGAGAAAAAGATACTTATTTGCCATTTCCAGACCACTTGAAACAATTTAATCCTACATGGAACATAATTAATAAAATGACACCATTACAGGACTTCCTGTTAAAAGCATATATTGCTTTAGAAGAAGATTTGGCAAAATATTATAAATTTAAAGGACGTGCCAATAGTGAAATCAGGAAAAAGTTTTTACGATCTACAGTCACCACTCATTGCTATGCTCTTCTTGTTGGAATTGATTATGAAAATTCACCAAACAGTCTTCATGGCATTCCATCAAATGATATCACTTGTATCAAACAACAGCTCGAAATTTCTTCCATTGCAAGTCCAGAAAATCTTCATGTTCTCAAAAATAATCAAGCTACAAAAGAAAGCATTTTAAATAAATTAAATACTATTGTCAATAATATGGACAAAAGATCGACATTCATATTTTACTTTTCGGGTCACGGGGGTCGAAAAGAGACTTCCGGATCTTATCTGTTTACATCCGATGATCAGATGTTAACCACTCATGAGCTAGTAGCTGTTTTTGATAGAGCTATGTCAAACAAAATAATCATTATGCTGGATAGTTGCTATTCTGGTGGTATGAGCAACGCATTCCACTTCAATTCGAATAATTTCAAACAAGGAATCCATATTTTATGTTCTTCTAATGAAGCTCAAGTGTCTTATCAATCAACAAGCGATGGAAATGGTTTTTTTACAAAACATCTAATCAAAGGATTAAAAGGAGAGTTTTCTTGTCAAACCAATAATTGTAATGAATGCAGAACAAGAACTACAAATTTACAAACAGCTGTTATACGCAAAGTTACTAGTACGGAACTTGTATCGTATTTAAATCATGCTATTAGTGGTCGTCAAAATTTTACTTATACGGCTCTTAACGGGTCTGATTTTGATATCAGTTTCCTCAATTAACAGTTCCCTTAATGTTTTCTAATGATTTGGTAACTTTAAACTATTTTATTCTTCCTTGTTCATTTGTTACTGCCTTTTTAGTGTAACATTACTTTCTGCTTATACACATGTGTCTCCCTTCGTCTTTCTCGTAACTCTCGTCCTTCAAAATTGTATCTCCTGTTTTCAGCATGTCTTCATACTGTCTGATCTACTGTCATACAAAAAAATGTTTGTTTTTCTAATTGTTACTTTGATGTGTATTATTTTACATTGGTAAACACCAAGCTTTTGTACACATTTAATACTTATATTTAGGTAGAATTTTTTCAAATATCTTTATTCTAAATTATAATCACGAATTTGTACTCAGCTAACAATCAGGCATCGTAGCAGACCCTTAAAATATAGGACCGTATGTCTACGTAATATATGAACAAATTCCAAAATTTCGTGTATTTACATGGAGTTTTGAAATTTATTCATATATTACGTAGACATATAGTCCTATATTTTAAGGGTCTGCTACGATGCCTGCTAACAATATAAACACTATCTGTAAGTTTTTATGTACGACCGTTTTCATGTAGATGTTCATACATTGTTATATGTTATAAAATCGTTTACCAAAACGTTTTGATGTTGTATTTTATTAAACATGGCGACTGTATTTGGAGTCATCTCGTGGATCCAAAAAATCAGAAATGTGGAAGATGCAGATGGACGATGGTAGACGGTCAGAATGAGGCATAGTGGACAATTTCTATAGAGCACATGAACATGACTTATTTCGTGTTGAAATTACCTTTTCTTCACAGGAATACCAGTTTCTACTTGTCAGAAGCCAATTACTGATTAAAAAAGTGAATTCAACAAAGAAAAAATCCGTGAGATGAGCCCTTGCCAAAATTTTTATCAAAAAATGTTTTTTCTCAAAAAGGGTGTGGTGTGGGTGTAGGTGTGGTGTGGGTGTGGATGGGTGTGGGTGGGTGCGGGTATGGGTATGAGTGGGTGTGGATGGATATGGGTGTGGGTGGGTGTGGGCGTGGACGTCGGTGTGGGCGTGGGTGTGTGTACTTCTGAATCAAACAAAAATTCAAGCAAACACCCACACCCACACTCACACTCAAACCCGCCCACACCCACACCTACACCCACACCTACACCCACTTCCACCCGCACCCACACCCACTCCCACCCATACCCACCCCACACCCTCGCATATATATGGATGTCAGCGGCGGCGTCTCATACTATTATGAAAATTTTCGTTCGTGGCGGCGGCAAAGCGGCTAAACTTGCTTTTTCACAGCGGCGGCTGCTGAAAAATTCTTAAAATTATCTGTGATTTGGTGGCGGCGGCGACGGCTCAGCCGTACGACTTACACCTCTATTAGTAAGACGACTACAGACTGGAATCCTAGCAAGTCAACATCAAAATTACTGAGTCTCGTACTCTTACATGCTCTCCACAAATATTCGTATAGTTTTGAGAAATGAACTTTTCAAAATTTTCATTTTTGTGCTGTTCAAGCATAAACTAGTCGTGAAGTCTACACTTAATCCGTTATGTATTCGAGAAGGCTCGACAAAACACCATGAATCCTTCTCTTAGTTATTTTTGCAATCATACAGTATTTATTTTGAGTCATGATTAACGCACATGTTTTTGTTCTGTTTTCGCGGAAAGTCGATCTTCTTGCACACAGCTTACTTGAATTGCGACCTTCATTTACATTGCAAATATTTGATAAGAAAATGGAGAATGACGCACTTTGTTGGCTGTCATCAGTGGGTTTTTTCCAACTTCCAACAAAAACAACATAAAGTCAATGCACAGATGAAGTGACGCGGAATCAGCAAGTGGGTGTGCGTGTGGTGTCGGTATTGAAGGAATCATGCACACTCACACCCACACCCGCACCCACACCTACCCGCACCCAAACACACCCACACCCTTGACGTATTGTTTGTTGTGAACACGCTTGAACAGATTCCAAATGGCTGGTTTTGGATGCTGCTCGGCTGCTTGGGTAACGCTGAACAGAGCGATGAGAACGTAAAGTAGATGCATGCTGACACAGCTATTCTTCATGGAGATGTGATGACAAGAGAAACCGTCACTCCCACTCTTTTATGCGCACGAGTGGTAGCAGCCACAGTGTCATTGTCGACTATCATCGTCATGATGATTTTCCGTGGTTCTACAAGTAACTTTTAGGCAAACAATTCTACAATCATAAACACCTCCCAAGTAGTCAAAATCAATAAAAAAAAAATGTAAAAACGGTGAGGGTAAGAGTGAGTGGAGCGGTCATAACCGGTTTCGTTCTAGCTGACAACTAGAACTCATCAGATGGCTTGATTTCGGATGCTCTCATCAAGAAAAGACGCAGGGTATGCTATAATGTTTTGAACAACGTTGCATTGCGTTGAGTGTTTATTGCAGAATAGATTTTTTTTTCGTTTCATTATCGTTTTCGTCCCTGTTCCTTGTATCACTTTGTATGATTTGGACATTGACCAGGTTTCGTGTAACGAATATGAAAAGTATATTCATAGAGAAAAATGAATATGTCGTAGTGTTTTGTTCAACATATCAAGAAACAACGAGATAAACATTTCAATGAGCCAATGGATCAGCCATAAGGCCAAAATAAAGTTGGTTAGGGTGGGGTGTGGATGTGTGTGTGGGTGTAGATCTTTCTTTTACTCACACCCACACCCACACCCACACCCACCCACACCCACCCACACCCACACCCACACCCACCCACACCCACACCCACACCCACCCACACCCACACCCACACCCACCCCCACCCCCACACCCGTTTCAGTATAAAAACGAACGATAAGAATTATCATAATCTGATCCCAAAACGATCACTTAAGATCGAATACTTTCGCCTCATAAAGAAATCTGTATCAATCATTTTCACATTAACTTTCATGTAAGATGTCTGCAATCAGAAATTCAAGGCTTTTTTTTCACTTTTTCAATGTAAAGGTGGGCTGAGCTCGAGTTTCTGATTTGACAAAAATGATTTTTGACTTTTGAAAATACTTTTGTGAGATCGAAAGCATTCAAAATCCAGTAGGATGTCTTGTTTTTGCAAAAAGTTCATTATTTTGTATTTGTGTGAAATTTTCCTTTCTGATCTTTGGTTCAGATTCTAGGAGAGTGGAATGTTGGGATGCGAATGGATATTGTGTGTGCTCGTGGCATTGGGTTAGTCTCTTGCTTTCACTCACTTCATACACCCAATATCAAGCATGATTAGTTTTTCTCCAATATGTCATATATTCGGTAGCAATTGAATTTTCTTGCTTGTTGCAAGTATTTTTGTGACTATTTTTGATTTGTTACGTATAAGAAATCTTGCAATGTTTTGAAAAGAAAAAAATAAATAGAACAGTCATGTCTTTTGGAACTGATGTAATAATATATTTTCGAAGCAACTCATGTGTATCAAACGTGATTAGATTTCAACGAATTGAATAATAAGGAATGTTTACTGAGAACTTTTTTCAATTTCTTTTTCATTAAAGATTCTATCATAGGGAAATATCAAAAGAAGAATGAAATTTTATCGTTTTTGACAATCATAATTTATATTTTGTTGAGAACTCTAGAGAAAAGAATATAATAATCTGATCGCGATCAAAAAGAAGCGAAATACGAAAGAATATTCTTGTTCTAGTAGTAAGCTATTATCTTCTTCTTTGATCACATATTTTATTTTAGAGAATACATTTCTGTGATATAATTTTTATTCACTTTTGGATTGGCATTCTTTGCAGACTGCGCAGTTGATCTCCTACCATCAATGTGCAAGGATATCCGAAAGAAAAGGTCTTTGACTCAGTATATTTTTCAACAGATGAAAAGTATCCTCAGTGCAGACTCACCACTGCAAACAAGTTCTTCGCTAACTACAATCTCTTTTGATGATCCCAACAAGACAATACTGTTATTGACGGCTGGTGAAAAAAGTAAGATCATTTTCATGAATTTGCAAGTTCTTAATGTGACATATAGAATGCTAATGCACTTATCATCGGAAGTGTGTTCTCAAGACGTTTTTGCGTACAACTAATAAATTTGATTGATTAGTAAGCGTTTGAAATATGCATGAGTTTTTTTCTATTGTATTCTTGATTTCTTAATTCATATGCAATAAAACTATTTTACGACTAAGAAAGTCGCTTATCATGATGTTGATACTTGACTACATCCAACAGTTTCGTCCTGAATCGATAATCTTGAATACGTTCTCCTAGGAATGGTTAACCAATAAGATAATCCGTTCGATTGGATATTCGGAAAGTACACCCAAAACATACGTGACAGTGGAAAAGGAAAATGGAGGATATCTGAGCACTGCGATCTACATCCACATCAACGAGCCCACACACATGAACACCGAATATATTATCTCACTCATATCCACGCCGATACTCACATTCTCTTTTTTGTTGAAAGAAAAATTGACAAGACAATTTTATTGTTGAAATTATTTATTTGAGAGCATTTTAAAAGAATTATTGGTTTCATAGTTGATTACTAGAAGATAGAAAGATGTAGAATCTGCCACTAAATTGAAAAATCTCCTCTTACGAAAAGAAGTTCTTTAAAAATCTTCCCTATCGTCAAAATATAATAAGTCATTTCTTTTAAATATTTATATTCTAAAACAAAACTAAGAGAGAAACAAAACAACTACGCAGTGTCAATAACGTTATGGAACAAAAATTAGTTTCATCAATCATCGAATTATACTAATAGTCTTAATATTGAGCTATTCTAGAAGCAATTTATCATAATTGAATTAAGGCTTAAAATTTCGAAGTTAATTATTGTTCACTGTCTTATAAAATAGCACTAGTTTTCTCAAATTTTGATAAATGACCACTGACAGTGCAGTTAAGAATTGAGGATAAAGATAAGTAGAATAATGAAGTTTGCTACGTGCATTAGGCAAAACACAATAACTGTTAACCTACGTAAATATCGGCGC